CCATTTCCCCCCTTCATTCCCATCCACCCTGCACACCCTCTCCCTCGCACATTCCCCCCTTTAGTTTATGTCCATGTGTCTTAAGTTCTTTAGCTTTTACATTTCCCATACTATCGTTGCCCTCCCTGTCTATTTTCTGCCTTCCATCTATGCTGCTTATTCTCTCTACCTTCCCCCCGCCCCCGCCACTGCCCTGTTGATAAGCCTCCACGTGAGCTCCAGTTCTGTGGTTCTGTTCCTGTTCTAGTTGTTTGCTCAGTTTTTATTTTAGGTGTGGTTGTTAGTAATTGTTAGTAATTGTGAGTTTGCTGTCCTTTTAGTTTACATGTGTTTTATCTTCTTTTTCTTAGATAAGTTCCTTTAACATTTCATAAAATAAGGGCTTGGTGATGATGAACTCCTTCAACTTGACCTTATCTGAGAAGCACTTTATCTGCCCTTCCATTCTAAATGAAAGCTTTGCTGAAGAGAGCAATCTTGGATGTAGGTCCTTGTCTTTCATGACGTGGAATACTTCTTTCCAGCCCCTTCTTGCCTGTAAGGTCTCTTTTGAGAAATCAGCTGATAGTCTGATGGGAACTCCTTTGTAGGTAACTATCTCCTTTTCTCTTGCTTCTAGGATTCTCTCCTTCATTTTTATCTTGGCTAATGTAATGACGATGTGCCTTGGTGTGGTCCTCCTTGGGTCCAACTTCTTTGGGGCTCTCTGAGCGTCCTGGACTTCTGGAAGTCTATTTCCTTTGCCAGATTGGGGAAGTTCTTCTTTATTATTTGTTCAAATAAGTTTTCCACTGGTGGCTGTTCATTTCCCCCTTTTGGTACCCCTATAATTCGGATGTTGGAACATTTAAAGATGTTCTGGAGGTTCCTAAGCCTCTCCTCATTTTTTTGAATTCTTGTTTCTTCATTCTGTTCTGGTTGAATGTTTCTTCCTTCTGGTTCACTCCATTGATTTGAGTCCCAGTTTCTTTCCCATCACTATTAGTTCCCTATGCATTTCCTTCATTTCACTTAGTTTAGTCTTCATATGTTCCTCTAATTTGTAAGTAAAATCAAGCAGTTCTGTGAGCATCCTAATGACCAGTGTTTTGAACTGTGCATCTGATAGGTTGGCTATCTCTTGGTTGCTTAGAAGTATTGGCTCTGGGGCTTAGAGCTGTTTTTCTGCTTGAGCCATAATGTTTTGGTCTGTTCATAGGTGTTATGTATGAGGGGCAGAGCCTTAGGTGTTCACCAGGGTAGGGCAACCCAAGTAGCTGGGTTTTGACACTGTATGTGGGGGCGGGGTCCGAGAAGGAAAAAAATGGTGCTTTGCTCCACTCTCTGTTGTACCTCAGTCCCTTCCGCCACTTCTCTAAAGCAAGCTGGGCCTTTCTGGTGCTGATTCCCATGTGGGTGGGCTTGTGTGCGTTCTAGGACCCTGTGGGTCTCTCCAATGAACTTTCCTGTGAAGGTGGGAGTCTCTACCTGCGCCTGAATCCCCACAAATGTTTTCAATCAATGTTTTGAAGCTTTATTTCCCAGTGCTAGGACCCTGTGCTGCGTGATCTGTCTCACTCCCCAGTTTTCTGCACATGAATGTGGGACCACTGCACGGTCAGCCAGCCACCTTATGCATGGTGCCCTGCTTCTCAATCACCACCTCACTGGGTCTGCGCCTTGCACACCTGGTGTCACCACTTCCTGTGCTGCAACCCCTCTCCACTGGTCCGCTGGACTCCACCCCACCTACTGGTCTGGATGAATATGTCTATTTTAACTCCTTGGTTATCGGACTTCTATACAGTTCAATTTTCTTTCAGTTTTGGTTGTTACTTTGTTTCTGAATTGTTGTTGTCCTTATTTTGGTTTGAGAAGGCACAGTGTGTCTACCTATGCCTCCATCTTGGCCAGAAGTCCTCTAAATCATTCTTTAGAAAAACAAAAATGACTTGGGAGACTTTTTTGGTGAAGCTCTCACTATTGAAAATGATGCCTTACTATTTTCTTAATATCCATTGAGCTTTAGGTATTATTCATACAGTAAGTCAATTTCAACAACCCTTCAGGATATTATATCTCCATTTTATAGATGGAAATGTTGAGATTCAGAGTCATGAAGATAAAAGCCCAAGTATGACTTATAAATTTATTTAAAAATGAGTTTATATTTAAGTTAGCATCTTTTTCTTATTATTTGGTGTAATAGGTGCTATATTAGGAGCAGAAGGTAAATAAAATTAGATAGATTTAACATATGGAAGGAAAGATAACATAGGTAAGCATTTGAGTCTTGACATTAAGTATAAATTCTGTCCAAAAAGCTGAAAATACGGCATCTACTTTATCCACATAGTGTTCACAGAGCCATTGCAGGATCTTCCAGAGAAATTACATACTGGCATGAGTCTCAACTCTCAGAGAAGAGTAAGAGCCTGAAAAATTAAGTGGCTTTGGCCCTGGCAAGTGTGGCTCACTTGGTTGGCACATTGTCCCATAAACCAAAAAGTCACAGGTTTAATTTTTGGTTAAGGCACATGCCTAGGTTGTGGGTTTCGTCCCTGACTTCAGTGCTTACAGGAGGCCCCCCAGTTGGGGTACATATGAGAGGCAACCAATTGATATTTCTCTCCCTCTCCCTTGTTTTCCCTCTTTCTAAAATCAGTGTGTCCTCAAGTGAGGATTTTAAAAAATTAAGTGACTTTGGAAATACATAAGATAATCTTAGAATTTTAGTGATGGAAAAATATCAGAAGCACTGTCAGTAGCTTCTAAGCAGTAGCTTCTTCCGCAAGCATTCAGAAGGGCCAGAAGCCACAGATGTTGGTTGAGCACACTGAAGAGTGCTTTATAGATGTGCTTGAATGAGGCAAAGGCCTCACCTATTTATCTTTGATGTAGAGCATTTATTATGGTCCCTGGCATGTCCAGGGGCCATTAAAGTAAATATTTCTTCAGCAAATACATACCTCAAATGAATGGCAACAGGAGGAACAAATAATTATAAAATCATTTAGTTAATATTTTCTCTAATAATCATTCATACATAAAAACAGTAACAACAATAGATTCATTTATACTCTAAAACTCTTTTAGCAGCTAACATTTTTTATGATATAAAATGCCCTTAGATATTTCAGAAGAGCTGAAGCCCATGTGCTTCACTATGGCAGTCTAAGTTATATTTGAGTAATCTGAACACTGATTTTATTTATATGTGTGTGTGTGTGTGTGTGTGTATGTATATACACACATGCGTGGAGGCAGAGAGAGATGTGCACACAGGACAAGGCATTGTGACCATGAAGGCAGAGGCTGCAGTAATGCAGTCATAAGCCAGTGAAGGCTGGCTACCAACAGAAGCTGGAGAGGCCAGGAATGATCTCTCTTCTTTCCCTCTTGAGGAAGGGCAGCCCTACTGACACCTTGATTTTGGTCCAGTGAACTGATTTCAGACTTCTAGAATTGCAAGAGCGTAAATTTCTGTTGCTTTAGCCCACCAATTAATTTGTTACAGCAGTCCTAGGAAACTAATGCATCAAGTAATTGTTTTTCTCCTGGAAATCATTATTTTTTTCTTAACACTGTGGACTCACCCTGCACATTTACAGCCTAATATTCAGCCAGAGATTCAAAAGGACCCAGTATGCAGGCCTGGAATTGTTTTGTGTATCTCCCTTATATATCAGATATTTTGACCCATGTATTAATATTTCAGCCACCTCTGGGACCTGAATTCAGTTTGTCTCTTCAGTTCAGTGGGACTGGGTGCTCTTTGAGCTTCCTCTCGCTGCTCCACAGCCTACAAATTGCCTCCAGTCAGAAGGTGGGCGTTCATAGAGCTCACTTCATTTGGTTTTCTTCTCAGGTATCACATTCCTGTGCTTTGATTTGTTCACTATTTCCTATTTTGTCCTGTTTTATAGTTGGCTGAGGTAGGAAGGCTAGTTAAGATACCAGTTACTCCCTTATATCCAGAAGTGGAATAACCTGCTTTATCCATTGAATAAATAAATCTTTTCTTTATTATTCATTATTTCTGTTTATTCAGTATTTATTATCTGGCACCACTCTAAAGTATAACCTCCGTGAGAGAAATGCTCTCTTATTCATGGTTGTTATCTCAGCTTCTAGAACTGCCTGAGTAAGACACAGTTCGGTTTAATAAGTGTTTGCTGAATAAGTAAATGAATGAGTGAATCTTGACAAGAAACAGAGCTGACTTTCCACCAAGAAGCCATAAAGGCAAGCATTTACTTTTCTATATGCTTTATGGTTGATAGCAGAACTATAGCCAGATATGCTCACCTGGGAGTGGGGTCATGAACTTGTGACTCAGAAGAATCCTGTTTGAAGACGGAAAACATCCATGCCTGCAATGCATCCTGTTTGTAAGGCAGCGTGGCTTGCCTGCTAACCTTCTGTGGTGTCCAGGCAGCAGCAGCTCGTTTTTATTAGGATAATTTTGTAGCATGACTTTGGTTTTGGGCTGACAACCTATCTACCATTATTTCTGCCCATTTTCTAGTTCCGTTGATCCAGCTTTCCCAGTGATTCTGTGAGATACCCAGTATCATTACAAGAAATTCCTTCTCTGCTTAAGTCATCCAAGTTCAGACATTGTTTAGAGCTACAAGTTCTTTTAAAGTTGCCTAGGACTCTGACTTCTGGGTATTTAGTAAGAACTTGGTGGGAGGTGTAAACATCAAGGAAATTTTGCTTCAAATTTGGAAAATCTAGATTTATTATAAATACTTTAGGTCTTTCCATTGTGCATTTATATAAATTAAGTGTAGTATTTAGAAGAGACTGTACCTACAGCCTGTAGCTCTTGTCTCCTAATGCATTTGCTAGGCATATTAGTCAGTTTTTATTTCTAATCTTAGGTTAGAAATCTTACTATATTTTTAGGTGATTCTACTAAGAACTTTAAGATTGATTTCTTTGAAATCTAGGCTTATATTTGCTGTTCTTTGTTCTAAGTAGACATACTATTAATACAGCTTTATTTTCCTGTTTAGGAGCTTCATAATAGAAGAGCAGAGTTTCTTGTTATGTGAAGATCTTCTCTATGGAAGAATGTCATTCAGAGGATTTAATCCTGAGGTTGAGGTATTAAATATAATTGCTTCAAATTTTAAATTTTTCCAATTGAATTCTTTCTGTTAATAATTGGGTTTAGGTTTTTCCCCACCAGGTACCATTCCTCCTCATTATATGGAAAATAACAAGTCTTGAAATATCGCCATAGCTATTTAAAGAAATTGCAGGCATTGCAGTCTAGTTTTATGGTAGAATTGAGCAGCTAATTTAATACAGCAATAAGTCCCTAGCAGTGCCACTCTAAGTGTTAGAATTGCAGCTTAGGTCCTTACAGGAATGTCGGGATTTTATTCACACGATGTTATTATGAAAAATTATTTTCTGACATCTATGAATGTATCTTTTCTAATGGAAAAATGTTTACTTAAAAATTGAGTGATTTGACTTTTTAATGGACAAGTTTTGATACAAGCTTATAAATAGATTTTTTAAAGAATCCTTATGGAAATTTGTTTGAAAAGTAAATATTCATCTTGAAACTGTACTGTTCATTTGAATTTTCCTGCCTCGGATTTGTAAAGAAGCACAGGCTTTCAGTTAACAAATATTAGAACCCTCGTTGTGGGCTAAAGCTATCATATCAGGTACTTAAGCAACCAAGTAGAGAGCTGTGTAGTATAAAGCTTTAGTTGATAACACCTTGAGGCCAGAGTTTCTCGGCCCTGGCACTGTTTTTTTTAATTATTATTATTTTTTTAATTCTCACCCAAGGACTTTTTTTTATTGCTTTTAGAAAGAGAGAAACAGATAAAGAAACATTGATGTGAGAGAAACATCAACTGGCTGCTTCCCATACTTCCCCCAGCTGGGGGTCAAACACGAAACTAGATTATGCTCTGATCAGGAATCAAACCCACAACCTTTTGGTGTACAGGACGATACTTCAGCCACCTGTGTCACCTAGCCAGTACAACCCTGGCACTATTGACATATGGAGATAGGTCATTGGATTGGTGTGGGGTTGTCCTGCACATTGCAGGCTGTTTAGCAGCATTCCTGGTCTCTGTCTTCTACTCCCTAGGTACTAACAGTGTGTGTGTGTGCACATAATACACATACAGCACACGTCCCACTCGTAACAACGAACAGTGTCTCCAGACGTTGCCAAAGGTTCCCTGGTGAACAGCCTCTCGTGGTTGAAAAGCACTTCTCTATGGGTGCCTGTAGACTACCATAGCTAACCAAGTTAATTGCCAGAGTTTACTTTAAAGCTTATTAGTTTTCTTCCCCTCCCCCCTTTATTTGAAGGGGTATGATAAATGTATACAAAATCAACACTAAATATATTTGTTTTTAATATATGCTTTCTTTTTTTTGGCCTGCGTAAAGCTTTAGATTAGGAAAAGAAAGAGGGCAGTGGAGCAAAGGAGAAAAAAAAGCAGAAATAAGTATTTGATGCCCCAAAACCAGGACTTTGGGTAAACAGGAACTCCAAAGTATGTCTGCCACAAGGGAAAAGGAGTTGATTCAGCCCTCAGAATTTGATGTGAGAGGTCATTGGAAAATGGCATTAATTACTGGCACCATTGAGTACATTTTCTCTGGGGAAAAGTTTTGAATTGTTTGGCTTGCAGATATGAGCTGGCATAAAATGTGAGAAAGTTTCATTTACCTGGTTATGAAAAGAATGATACCAACTTGAGAGCACTTACTTTAATATAAGCAGGATGTAATTAGAACACATGTAGTATTGTATGTGTTTCTAGTGAAACCTAGCATAGAGTTTATTTCGTCAGTAAATATATATTCCGTGTCTGTGGTGCATCAGCCCTCTTGAGGCACTGGAAATGCAGCAGAGAACTCAAATGTATACCCTCCCACAGCTTGTATTCCCAAAATTATTTTATCTTCAGTCCTTTAAACTTTAATTGAGAAAAGCTAATTGAGACTGGTTTCTCATCAGCTCTTCCTTGTTCCGCCTTTGTTATAAAGTATTGTACAGTAAAAATAAAATCTGTCAGAGGGGAACTATCAATTAAAGGTTAATGTGAGAAAAAAATGGTGAGACCCATGACAGGTGGACATCATACAGGATGCATTATCCATTCTCACATTTGGTAGTTAAGCATTTCCTCCCATTGTAGCAGCACCAGCTTTCCAGTTCTTCCATCCTGCAATTCACTGCCCCCCACTATTACCATCCAAAAAAATGCACTTAAAATTTCTCTTGACTGCAATATTTCTTCCATGTGACTCAAAGATGGGAAGTTTGGAGGAAACCTGAGAGTTTACCTTTTCTTCCCCTTACTCACTAGAATGTGTTAGCAGTCCGCTTTATTTGTTAGTTTAAATTACAATTGATGTACAATAGTATATTCATTTCAACTGTACAACCCAGTGATTAGACATTTATATAACTTATGAAGTGGTCACCTCACTAAATCTAGTACCACTTGACTATATATATATATATATATGCATATATACATATATACATATATATACACACACACACAGTTATTGTAATAATAGTAACTATATTCCCTATGCTGTATTTTACATCCCCATGGCCGTACCATAACTACCAGTTTATCTTTCTTAATCTTTTCAACATTTCCACCTAATTTCCCTCCCATCTGGCAATCATCAAAATGTTTTTTGTATCTGTGAGTCTGTTTCTGTTATGCTTGCTTGTTTATTTTGTTTTTTCCATTCCACATATAAGTGCAGTCATGTGGCATTTGTCTTTCTCTACCTGACTTATTTCAGTCAGCACAATACTGTCTAGATCCATCCATGTCTTTGCAGGTGGCATGATTTTTTGTTATGGTTCATTCATGTTCCATTATATATATGCACCATTTCTTTATCCATTCACAGAAACTTAGTTTGCTTCCATATCTTGACTTATAAATAATGCTGCAATGAACATATAGATATATGTCTTTTCAATTTAGTGTTTTCGATTTCTTTGAATAAATAGTCAGAATTGCTGGGTCCTTCTTTGTCTCTTGTTGTAGCCTTTCTTTTAAAGTCTATTTTGTGTAGCATAAAAATTGCTACCCCACCTTTTGGGATTTTTCTTTCCATTTTCATGAACTATCTTTTTCCATCTCTTTTCTTTCAGTTTGTGTGCACCTTTCAGTCTGAGGTCAGTCTCTTGTAGACAGCATATGTAAGGGTCTTGTTTTCATATCCATTCAGCCACCACATGTCTTTTGATTGAAGCTTTTAATCCATGCATAATTATACATTTAACATAATTATTGATATGTATTTTTTGCCATGTTATTATTTATATTTTTTATCTTTATTTTCTTCTTCTTAAAGAAGTCTCTAACACTTCTTGAAATGCTGGTTTGGTGATAGTGAACTCCTTTAGCTTTTTTTTCGGGGGATCTGGAAAGCTCTTACCTGTCCTTGGATCGTAAATGATAGCTTTGCTGGTTAGGGTAATCTTGATTGTAAGTCCTGGATTTTCATCACTTTAAATATTTCCTGCCAATTCCTTTTGGTTTAAGTGTCTGTTGAAAAATGAGCTGATAGTCATGGCAGCTCCCTTGTAGGTAATTAACTGCTTTTCTCTTGCTGCTTTTAAGATTCTCTCTTTGCCTTTAACCTTTGGCATTTTAATTGTGTTATATCTTGGTGTGGGCCTCTTTGGATTCTTGTTTGGAGCTCTGCAATTCCTGGAGTTTTATGACTTTTCTTCACCAGATTAGGGAAATTTTCTGCCATTTTTTTTTTCAAATAGGTTTCCAGTTCCTTGCTCTCTTCTCTTTTGGCACCCCCATCATGTTAATGGTGGTATGCTCCTCATGCCCGCCTCCTTTTTTTGTATGCTTTATTCTTTTTGCTGTTCTTTTTGTTTTCTGCTTCCATATCTTCCAAATAGCTGCCTTGAACATCTGCTTTATCTTCTCTACCTACTATTGATTCCCAGTAATGTATTCTTCATTTCAGTTAATGTATTCTTCATTTATGATTGGTTCTTTTTATGTCTTCTTCATTTATATGTTTCCTGTCTCTTTGTTGAAGTTCTAATCATCTACTCTTCCCTTAAGTTCATTGATCTTATAATCAGTGTTTTGTTTTTACCTTTTTAAAAAAATGTTAATTGTTGTTCAAGTACAGTTTTCTGTCTTTTACTCCCATCCCAGCCCACCCCCCCCATGCTCCCCACCTCCCTCCCATTTCCACCCCACCCCCCTTAGTTTTTGTCCATGTGTCTTTTATACTTGTTTCTGTAAACCCTTCCCCTTTTCCCCTGAAGTTCCCTCCCCTCTTCCCGCTGGTCACTGTCAGCCTGTTCTCTATTCAGTGTCTTTGGTTATATTTTGCTTGCTCATTTGTTTTGTTGTTTAGGTTCCTGTTAAAGGTGAAATCATATGGTATTTGTCTTTCACCACCTGCCTTATTTCACTCAACATAATGCTTTCCAGTTCCATCCATGCTGTTGCAAAGGGTAGGAGCTCCTTCTTTCTTTCTACTGCATAAAATTCCATTGTGTAAACGTACCATAGTTTTTGGATTCATTCATTTACTGATGGGCACCTAGATTGCTTCCAACTCTTGGCTATTGTAAATTGTGCTGCTATGAACATTGGGGTTCATAGGTTCTTTTGGATTGGTGTTTCAGTGTTCTTAGGATATAATCCTAGCAGTGGAATTGCTGGGTCAAAAGGCAGATCCATTTTTAGTTTTCTTAGAAAATTCCATACTGTTTTCCATAGTGGTTGTACCAGTCTGCAATCCCACCAACAGTGAGCTAGGGTCCCCTTTTCTCCAATACCTCTCCAACACTTGTTCTTTGTTGCTTTGTTTATGATGGCTATTCTGACCGGTGTAAAATAGTATCTCATTGTGGTTTTAATTTGCATCTCTCTGATAGCTAGCAATATTGAGCATCTTTTCATGTGTCTCTGGATCCTCTGTATGTCCTCCTTGGAGAAGTGTCTGTTCAAGTGCTTTGCCCACTTTTTAATTGGGTTGGTTGTCTTCTTAGAGTGGAGTCGTGTAAGTTCTTTGTATGTTTTGGAGATAAAACCCTTGTCTGAGGTATCATTGGCAAATTTGTTTTCCCATACAGTTGGTTCTCTTTTTATTTTAATAATGTTTTCTTTAGCCATGCAAAAGCTTTTTATTTTGATGAGATCCCATTTGTTTATTCTTTCCTTTATGTCCCTTGCTCTAGGGGACATATCAGTAAAAAAGTTGCTGTGTGAAATATTTGAGTTTTTCCTGCCTGTGTTCTCCTCTAGGACTTTAATGGTGTCACGGCTTATATTTAAATCTTTTATCCACCTTGAATTAATTTTTATGTATGGTGTAAGTTGGTGTTCTAGTTTCATTTTTTGTTTGTAGCTGTCCAGTTCTCCCAACACCATTTGTTGAAGAGGCAATTTTTATTCCATTTTATGTTTCTGTCCACTTTGTTGAATATTAATTGACCATAGAGACTTGGGTTTAATTCCGGGCTCTCTGTTCTGTTCCACTGGTCCATGTGCCTGTTTTTATACCAGAACCAGGCTGTTTTGATTACAGTGGCCTTGTAATACAAGGTATCAGGTATTGTGATCCCTCCTCCTTTTTTCTTTCTCAAAATTGCAGCAGCTATTTGGGGTCATTTATGGTTCCATATAAATTTTTGAAGTGTTTGTTCTATGTCTGTGAAATATGCTATTGGTACTTTAATAGGTATTGCATTGATCTGTGAATTGCTTTGGGTAGTATGGACATTTTGATGATGTTAATCTTCCGATCCACAAACACGGTATGTGTTTCCATTTGTTTGCATCTTTCTTGATTTCTTTCTTCAGTGTTGTGTAGTTTTCTGCATACAGGTCTTTTACCTCCTTGGTTAGGTTTATTCCTAGGTATTTTCTTTTTCTTCTTGCTATATCAAATGGGATTTTTTCCTTGATTTCTGCTTCTGTTGTTTCATTGTTGGTCTACAAAAATGCCTTTGATTTCTGGATATTGACTTTGTATCCAGCTGTTTCGCCAAATTCATTTATTAGATCAAGCAGTTTTCTGGCCAAGTCTGTAGGATTTTTTATGTACACTATCATGTTATCTGCAAACAATGACAGTTTTAGTTCCTCCTTTCCAATTTGAATTCCTTTTATTTCCTTTTCTTGTCTGGTCGCTGTGGCTAAAACTTCCAATACTGTATTGAATAGAAGTGGTGAAAGTGACAACCTTGTCTTGTTCCTGATCTTAGTGGAAAAGATTTTAGCTTTTGCACATTGAGTATGATGTTGGCTCTAGGTTTCTCGTATATGGCCTTTATTATGTTTAGGAATGCTCCCTCTGTTCCCACTTTGCTTAATGTTTTTATCATAAATGGGTGCTATATCTTACCAAATGCCTTTTCCACATCTATTGAATAGATCATGTGATTTTTGTCTTTGCTTTTGTCTATGTGATGTATTACATTTACTGATTTGCATCCCTGGGATGCAATGTCACTTGGTCATGGTGTTTGATCTTTTTAATGTATTGTTGGATGTGGTTTGCCAATATTTTGTTGAGGATTTTAGCATCTATGTTCATCAGTGATATTGGCCTGAAGTTTTCTTTCTTTGTTGTGTCTGGTTTTGGGATTAGGATGATGCTGGCTTCATAAAAAGAGTTTGGGAGTCTTCCATCATTTTGGATTTTTTGGACTAGTCAGTGAGGGACAGGGGTTAGCTCTTCCTTAAATGCTTTGTAGAATTAATCCTGTGAAACCATCTGGTCCAGGGCTTTTGTGTGTCAGCAGTTTTCTGATTACTGCTTCAATTTCATCTGCTGTTATTGGTCTGTTCAGGCTTTCTGCTTCTTGGTCATTGAGTTTTAGAAGATGATATTTTTCTAGAAATTTGTCCATTTCACCTAGGTTTTCAAATTTCTTGGCATACAGTTCTTCATAGTAATTTCTTACAATCCTTTGTGTTTCTGTGGTGTCAGTTGTAATCTCTCCTCTTTCACTTCTGATTGTGTTTATTTGTGTCCTCTTTCTTTTTTTCTTGATGAGCCTGCATATAAAGGCTTATCGATTTTGTTTATTTTTTTCAAAAAAACTAGCTCCTGGATTCATTGATCCTTAGAATTTGTGCTTTTAGTCTCTATGTCATTGAATTCTGCTCTGATCTTGGTTATTTCCTTCCTTCTACTTGCTCTGGACTGTCTTTGGTGTTGTTCCTTGAGTTCTTGTAGGTGTGGGGTTAGGTTGTTTATTTGAAACGTTTCTGTCTTTTTAAAGAAGGCCTGTATTGCAATGAACTTCCCTCTCAGCACTGCCTTCACTGTGTCCCATCAGTTTTGGGTTGTCATGAGTTCATTTTCATTTGTTTCCAGAAACTTTTTGATTTCTTCCCTAATTTCATTCTTGAGCCATTCAGTGTTTAATAGCATGCTGTTCAATCACCATGATTTTGAGTGTTTTGGGTTTTTTCTTTTGGGGTTGGTTTTTAGTTTCAGTCCCTTGTGGTTGGAGAAAATGCTTGGTATGATTTCAATTTTCTTGAATTTGTCGAGGCTTGTTTTGTGTCCAATTGTGTGGTGTATGTTTGAAAATGTTGCATGTGCATTTGAAAAGAATGTGTATTTTGCTTCTTTGGGATGAAGGGCTCTATATATATCAGTTAAGTCCATTTCTTCTAGGGAATTGTTCAATGCCACAATATCTTTGTTGATATTTTGTTTGGAAGATTTGTCCATTTTTGACAGTGAGGTGTTAAAATCTCCTACTATAATTTTGCTGTAGTCACTATCTTTCTTGAAGTCCTCTAAGATTTTCTTAATGTATTTGGGTGCTCCTATGTTCAGTGCATATATATTTACAATGTTTATGTCTTCTTGGTAGATTTTTTCCTTGAGTATTATGAAGTACCTTCTGGGTCTCTCTTTATGGCCCTTTTTTTGAGGACTATTTTGTCTGATATGAGTATTGCTACCCCACCTTTTTTTTTAACTGTCTGTTTGCTTGGAAAATTTGTTTCCAGCCCTTCATTTTCAGTCTGTGTAGGTCTTTTGTTCTGAGGTGGGTCTCTTGTAGGCAGCATATGCATGGGTCATGCTTTCTTATTCATTCAGCTATTCTGTGTCTTTTGATTGGAGCATTTAATCCATTTATGTGTAAGGTTATTACTGATAGGTACTTATTCATTACCATTTTTGTACCTGTGTTTCTCTCTGTCTCTTTTTCTTTCCTTCCTTTCCTTAGAGCAGTCCCTTTAGCATCTCTTGTAGCGCTGGTTTGGTGGAGGTATATTATTTTAGACTTCTTTTGTCTGGGAAGCTTTCTTTGGCCTTCTATCTTGATTGAGAGCCTTGCTGGGTAAAGTAGCCTTGCTACTTCAGAAAGCTAGTCCTGTAGTTTCTGACTTGCTCTATCTTCAAATACATTTGACACTAGTTTCTTTCATAAGCCTTTTTCAGCCCTGATAGTGACTGTTGATTTATTTTTCAGAAATTAATGATTCAGATGAATTCTAAGAACAAAGCAGAAGAAGTTGAAGATAAAACTGTGGAGCTTGATGTGTCCGATGAAGAAATGGCTAGAAGGTAACGGTTACCTTGGAACAGCGTTGTAATCTGGGCCCAGCATTCATCGGCCATCACACGTGCACTCCTCTTACACCATGGTCTACCCCAGCAGGGAGATGGCTGTTATGCTTTCTCTGACATGACCAGGGTGGCTTCAGGCCTGTCACAGCCTGGCAGTTGAGGGCCTATTTCCAGTGCTGCATCCAGTACATTTTTTAAATATATATCTCCTTTACTTAGAATAATACCAAAACAAAAAACAGGAGAATTTTGTTATTCTTAGAGACATTCATAAGTTTTTAACTCAGATGGCTTATCTTAATCACAGTTTTTATTTGAAGCAAACATAGTTCTTGTTCTTTATTGTGTTCTTGACAAGACTTGCTTTTTACCTTTTTATTTAAAATTAAAGTTGTGCTATTTATATCATCTTAACAGATATGAGACTTTGGTGGGGACGATTGGAAAAAAATTTGTCAAAAAAAGAGACCGTGCCAATTATGAAGAAGATGAAAATGGAGATATAAAACCAGTTAAAGCAAAGAAGATGTTCTTAAAGCCTCAAGATTAAAATGGATGCCTTAAGATACAGCTCAGGAATGCCTTATGAGTATTAACATATTTTGGAACTCATTCCAGTGGTTTCTCTATAGCTAGTGATATTGTAATGTTTATTTGTAAAGAAATGTATAATTTCGGAAACATGCTGTTCTTGAAACAGGTGTGTGATGGATGTTGTACATCCTTTGTCTAATAGTATTCATCAATAGTGGGTTTTTAGCCCTTGATCTTCAAATGTACAAAGGTACATGGTTGCTTCCTAAAAAATTTTTGACCCCAGATTTTTAAAAATAAATCTGTATAGTCACTGGCCTTAAATTGACTCATAAATGAATACCAGAGTTTAAATCATCCTTATGTTTACATTTTACTTTAAATTACTAATAATGTGAAGCCAGTTAATACATTTTAGAATCAACTATCATGAGAATTTATTATATATAAATTCATCGAGAACAAACATGTTTCTTCAGTCCAAAGTATTTGCATGTTACCAAGTCATTGTAAATTTGTAGAATTATGGGGGGGGGGGCATGTTAAAACCTTTAATAAAAAAATATGTTCTATAGTCATCTTATGTTTTCATATACTTTTTCTGTTCTCTTTTACTTTCAGGTAATAGATTTAGTCTAATTCAATAATGGAACTTTAAAAAAAGCAGCTGCTAATTTAGAATGTGGTTCTTTATTAGGTTGAACCATAGCAGATTGATTTCTGTAGTAGACCGCTCTGCCTGATTTTAGGAATTGTATCACTACCCCTTGTGGCTAAGGGTGCGAGACAACCTTTGGAATGCCGGCCAAAGGAGACAAAGCTTGTCTCTGGTAGCAAACACTGCCTCAGTTCCTCTCCCTGCCCCCAGAGCTTGGTTGGAAGTCAATGACAGGTAAGACCCCTCACAGCAGGGGGCAACCTAAGCCAGACTCGATCACCTGGGAGGCCTTCATGGAAGGACTGGGGGGCTGCAACAAAGAGCAATAGACTCTTGCCCCCCCGGTTTTGACATAGCCCAAGTCCCCACATCTTCTGGGAGAAGTGCTTCCTGGCTCTAATCACTTTAAGCCTGAATACCTGATGGGAAGAGGTGCAGCTCATTGCCTGGCCAGAGCGTGCCCTGGGGAAAATCTGGCACCACAAAGACTTGCTGATTAACCTGTGAAATCTGCTAAAAGTGCTTTCATTCTTATGATAAAGGGTCCAAGAGGAAATGAGTATGTCTCCCAAAGTTTCTGCAACTCTCTTCCTAACAGACACTGACTCAGATCTCTTTGTAATGTTATCTACTGTTTGATCCTTGCCGCCCTGTATTCCTGTGTATTACAACCCAATAAAAGGGTTTTTCTCCTCAGAGAAACTGGTCACTGCTGGCCTCTTTCTCCCCAGGGAAACTGGCCACAGCCTACACCTCCATCCCCAAACAGATCTCGTCGCTTCTCAGCCATATTTATTCACTCACATGTGTCTATGGCACCAGGAGGACCTCGCGAAAGTGGTCGCCCCCACAGATTTCTATGGGTCCAAACCAATCATCAATTTCTCATAGTGTAGCTCAGTGGAATTCACCACTAACCAGACCATCTCGTAGTCTATTTATTTATTCTAAATAGTCCAGTAGCCCGTGGAATTTAGTGTATATACATGTATGTCTCTGTCTGGAGCTATCTACCTAGGACTTCATTTCATTGTATTCCTAGCAACTAAATAGGGGATGTGTCTCCTCTCTCTCTGAATAGCCTTAATTTTTTTAAATCCTCGCCTGAGGATATGTTTTATTGATTGATTTTTGTTGTTGTTTAGAGAGAGGAAGGGAGATAAAGAGAAACATCAATCAGTTGCCTCCCATACACATTCTGACTGGGTCCCCCACCAGTGATTAAACCCACAGCCCAGGTATCTGCCCTGACTGGGAATTAAACCCACACACTTTCACTGTACAGGATGATGCTCCAACCAACTGAGCCACCCAGCCAGGGCTCTGAAGCTCCTTAAATTTTGATTGCTCTGTAACCTCAGCTCCTAGGTGAATTATAAAAGAAGTCACAAATTTGAAGTTAATCTGGCTCTTTTTTTCATTGTGACAGGGCAATGAACGTTTAAGTGTGACAGTGGACTTGTTGCCTCTGGAATTCACCAGTCTTCATCCATGCCCCACAGACAAGAGCAATAGGTACAACACAATGGTGGAATGGTCTACTTAAGACTCAGTTATGACCCTAGGTGGGATACAAAACTATCTTACAAAATGTAATTTACATTTGAATTAGTGATCGTTTAATGGTCTGTTGTTCTGATTGTAGTCGGGATACAAGGTCTGTCTGAAAAAGCCCAGCCATTGTTAAAATAATGAGAACTGTTTGTGCAACATTGACATAATCTAGCAGCCAAGGAGAGTGGACTGGAATACACTCATGTGAACTATTGATGACTTCACTGTACCAGTCAGGGGGAGGTGGTAGAAACCATTGAGTGAGCATCTATACTGTGTGGCCCTCACATTCAAAATGACCAAGCTAATAGAACAACACACCTGCATCAGATTTTGTGTTAAGCTTGAACATTCCTCCTTGAAAACTGTTCGGATAATTCAGAAGGCTGCAGTTATGGACAGCTGGTGATTGGCAACTTCATCACGACAACATGCCCGCTCACACATCACATCTCATGCAGAGTTTTTTGTTTCTGTTTTTTTTAAAGATTTTATTTGTTTATCTTTTTTAGAGGGTAAGGGAAAGAGAGAGGGAGAGAAACATCAATGTATGGTTGCCTTCGTGCATCCCCTGCAGGGAACCGACCTGCAACTCAGGCATGTGCCCTGACTGGGGATCGAACCGCAATTGGTTCATAGGCCTGCGCTCAGTCCACTGAGGTACACCAGCCAGGGCTTCATGCAGAATTTTTTGGCAAAACATCAAATCGCCTATGTAACTTAGTCCCCCTACAACCCATATTTGGCCCTGTGGCTTCTGGCTTTTCCTAAAACTAGAATCACCTTTGAAAGGGAAGAGATTTCAGACTGTCAATGAGATTGAGGAAAATATGACGCCCAGCTGATGGTAGCTGGGAGAACTGTGTGAGGTCACAAGGTGCCTACTTTGAAGAGAACTGAGCTGCCATTGTCTTATGTACAATGTTTCTTGTGTCTTCAATAAATATCTTTTTCATATTACATGGCTGGATACCTTCTGGACAGACCTCATATGTGGCCTGGAATCAAGCAGAGGTAGGAAAGTATCTCCTCTCACTCTTCCACCCGGTAATGCACTCAGAAATGTTTTGCTTCCCATATCTTAATTTTGAGCTCTGTTTTGAGGTCTGACTTCCCGAGGGAGAAGTGCTCCCACCAGGGATCAGAACAGTATTAGGACAGGAATTGAAACAATCTGGACATTTTGCTACTAAACCAACAGGCAAAGGCATTTACTCGCCTGGCTAGCACAGGAGAACAAAGGGGTATTTGTGCTGTTCCTACACAGTGGATGCTAGAGAATATGTAGAACCCAGGGGCATCTTTTAGCACTTCCATGCCCAGTGACAAACTTGAATGGGAAAATAGAACTACCTTAAACAGGCAGGAGTGATATGGACCCGTTTTTTTTAATCCTCATCTGAGAACATGTTTGTTGATTGCAAGAGAAGGGGCAGGAAGGGAAAAAGAAACATTGGTATGAGAGAGAAATGCCAGTCAGTTGCTTCTCATATGCACCCTGACCAGGGATAGAACCCACAAACTCAATTTAGGGGCTTATGCCAAATCCACTGAGCCACACTGGCAAGGGCTGATTTAGACCTTTTAGGCCTTGAGGTTTTAGGTCACCTTACAAGGTATAAACCCCTAAGCATCAGAGATCCTGGCTGAGGGAAGAGGAAACATGGAATGTGAGTAGGAAGAATTAAGCTTATTAGTTATAGTCTTGTGACCAATTACAAGTTACTGAACAATTATGCATAATTTCTTCTATTTTTCTACTGTATATGGGATTTAGAGGGCTACTTTGCTATTTAGTCTTGAAATAACAATATTCAAATGGGTCTGTGACTAAATTCTATGTAGAGTAAGTTACATGGACAAGAGATGAGATGAATAGTGTGACTGTTTCCCAGAAACAGCCATAATGTCTGCTGGGACTTTGTCTTCTCATTTTGGAGAAAGGGTGAGAACATCTTTTATACAAAGGATGATTGCAACTTGTTTAGTAAAAATAAAGAGTTGTTTTTCTTGTGGGAAGTTTAATTATGTTTAGAAGTGCATGCATGTGGATGCTGAGTGGCATGAGGGGACAGACTGTAGTAGATAATTAACCTGTTTCTCAGCCTCAAACCCTTCCATACAGCTTTTGGTGCTGGACTGGGATTCAGCAAACCCTGTTTCTCCTTTCTAGGCTGGTTCCTTATTGAGATCGGCCAATGGAGGCCCAGATGGAGATGGAAAGGCCAGAGGAGGACGGAGGAGCATGGCCCTTTCTGTCTGCTTCTTTCTCTTTGCTTCCTGTTCCTTTTGTCACCCCAAGACACCTCTTCACCCCAGCAGACGCTGGTGTTTCAGTAAGTCACTTGATACCCACCACTTAGTGCTCCTTCCTCAAGTGTACCCAGTACCCTGGCCCATAGGCCTCCTTCCTCCCCATTCAGCTCAGGCGCTGATATTAATCTTACCTTGAGTTTCAGCTCTCTGGGGTCTCTCCAGGCTCCTAAAATTGAACAATTTCATTTTTTTCCCCTACGAGTGACAGCTTCCTGCATGATTCCTTCAAATGTTCTCTTTGCTTTTTCTGTTCTTTAGTATCCAATTAACAATCCTTTATATTGAATTTTCTCTGTTGACGTAAGGGAGGCTTTTATCTCCTGACTAGATTTTGACTGATACAGACTCATCCCAGAGTATGTGAACTCATGGGTTTGGTGGGCTGCTTTTTTTAATCTGTGTTCAAGTTTACAGCTATTAAAGTAAAAAATGTTCAACCATTTACAGCTTCTTGGAAGTTATCTCACGTAACCAGTAGTTAGTACACCATATTTCGGGAACCACTGCCCCAGCACAGTAACACCCATTGACTCCGTTGCTGCATCATTCATGTTCATCTCCTTAGTTGTCATGCTACTGTCCTCAGAGGTAGGGACTGTACTTTTTTCCCATTTGCCCTGTGCCTAGCAAGGAACATGGCTCCTACTAAAGCTTTCAGTAAATATTTCTTCAGTGAGTGAACAAATGAATGAACGATAGTTAAGTGATTTGGAAACCAATTGACCTACAAAGCCTACTTAAACCACAGTGCTTCCCTGGCTGGTGTGGCTCTGTGGACTGAGTGCAGGCCTGTGAAATGAAAGGTTGCCAGTTTGATTCCCAGTCAGCACATGCCTACATAGCAGGCCAGGTCCCCAGTTGAGGACATGAGAGAGAGAGAGTCGCTGTATCTCTCACTCACACCTCGGTGTTTCCCTCTCTCTTTTCCTTTTCCTATCTCTAAAAATAAGTAAGTAAAGTCTTTTAAAAAATAAATTTAAACCACAGTGCTGTGGAAATAAAGACTAACCAAATGAGAAAAAGACTATTCAGTACATTCCATATAGCAGGGGAGTCAGCCACCATCATTTGCATTTTGGCAGAATCAAAGGCAGAGGAATGGGAAAGCCTATTGTGGGAAAAAAAAAAAAGAGAAAAGGCCTCAGGTATGCCTTGATTGAAGGCTGTTGGCATGGCAGAGCTGTAGGAGGCTAACCAGAAGCAGGGTATACTATGTGATTGGTTAGAGATACATATTTGACCTCTGGTTGGTCCTAAGATGGAAGTAGGTACAAAATTTAGAGAAGGCATCATTCAATAAATCCTTACTATTTGGGGCCTATTGTTATACAAGTTATTGTTTAGCTTCCTAGATTGTCCCTGGAGATTCCATCTGGCCTCCTACAAGGCTGACTCCCCAAGTTCAGTGGAGATAAAGAATTGGTTTCTTGGGCAGGTTGCTGCAGGTAATGGGTCAAAATTCTATTTTATAGATAGCCTGGCCATTATTTGTATATTCAGTCCCTCGGTGCTTAAGTTTATTTCTAGTCATACTATAAAATACAACGGTTAGATCATGATTCTATGGAAATATGCACTCAGTTTCAGAAGATGCCACTAGTGACATCCAGGATATTTGTGGCTCCAGCCATGAGCAGAGGAGCTGCCTATGCTGGAGGCAGACACTTGAGCAGTTAGTGTTGCAGAAACAAGGCCACCAAATCAGGTCACTGAAAAACTCTTGCTATTCCAGATCTTGGGTAGGAAAACTAAATACCACTGGCTAATGGACAGAGAATTCAATTTAACAGATAATTATCATTTCACTCATTGATTCACTGACATATTTATGTTGGTTGATGAACTTTATTAAAGGGAGCTATTTGGGGAGGGAGAGAAGATGGAGTAATAATAGTTTCAAGAAAATCTGTAGCGCCCTGGCTGTCATGGCTCAGCTGGTTGAGTGTTGTCCCACAAAGAGAAAGGTCACTAGTTCGATTCCCAGTTAGGGTACATGCCTGGGTTGCCAGCTTCTTCCTTGGTTGGAGTGCAG